AATGCAAATACACAGACCCGTATGCACACCAGATATGAAATATCAGCATACAATTAACAAAAGATGTTCCTAGTACACTTTCTATGTTAACATCATTCTGCCCAAGTATCTTGGAGAGACCCCTACAAAGTGCCCTGTGTTTAGCAGCAGCCCAGATGTAATTAATACTGCACTCTGTCTTTCTTTCTCTCTTTGTTTCTGGCCAAAGATCCCAACAGACGGTAGTGAGATGCAAAAGACTGTTTAGCCCTCCAAGAAGCTCTCTTCTTCTCTTCTACTCTGTAGAGCCCAGCTCTTACTTGTTATGGTTCATTGATGAAGCCTTGTTCTTAAGTGACTCAAGGTTTAATCACAAACCTGGCTTGTTTTCAGTGGGTCTGAATAGTAAAATGCTTTGTTACTCTGGAAATTTTGGAAGGCACAACTGATGAACTGAGGGGAGGGAAAAACCTGTGGAGTGGGCACCTACTAGCCTCTTTAGCTAGACCTGGCTGGAGGTTGATTAAATATGAGGGACGTCCATCATGTTAAACAGCCACTTCATGGGATGTAGGTTAGGCAGCATGGTGCTAATTAGGATGGACTCGGAAGTGGACTGTGCTGCCAACAGCATGCTGATGTCTGAAGAGTCAGGTGGGACACCACTGCTCCGAACATTCACAGCCTCTTGTCAGGCTTAATAATATAGTTTGGCACATATTATATTGGATGTTTCTCATGAGCAGTTCCTTACGATAACAATCTGTGACATTTTTAGCAAGTGGCGTGGATCTGGGGAGGGCAATGTTGGTCTGTCAGTCAGTCTGTCCACCACTTGAAATTCTGAAATATTTCAACAACTAATTGAATGAAATTTGCAGTGGTGGAAACTAAGTACATTTATTGAACTACTGTACTTAAATACAATGTTGAGGTATCTGTACTTTACTTGTGCAACCTACCCAGCGGTATGTAAATTACTTCAAATTATAAATATATAAGCTAATTAAAACTAGCTCCTCCTTTACCAGCTGCAGCATTAAATGTGATGTACAAAATAATACATCAGCAATTATAATCATAATTTACATACATTTATGTTAAATATGCCATTCTGCATAATGACTACTTTAATGCAGCAAGGTGTCTGCTGTGTCCCCCTCTCTCACCATCACTCCCTACCTCTATTTATTTCTCTGCAAACCTCCTTTTTTTAATCTTCTCTTTCATTGTCAGCTCAAACTACTCCAATATTTAAGTCCAAACTGAAATAAAGTATTCAGAAAATTTAAAGCACATTAAAGCAGTTCTTAGTGAGTTTATGTATTTAGATATAGCATACTAATACTTATTTTAAATACACTATCTGTAATACAAATATAAACAAATAGGTCATCACCACCAAAAATAATATTACATAAAAACCTGTTGACTGGATTTCAGTTCTAGTTCATCTGATCTAATGAAGAAATCAGCAGAACTCATGAGTAAATGTTTTCATTTGTATTATGTAAAATGCACAAATGTTCCAAATTTTTTTAGAACAACATCCAGGGGCTGTTTTACAAAGGCGCTTTCCAAGCACAGCTTTACACACAGAGAGGAAAATGGTGGCAGCATCACATTTCTCAAATGACTGTCACTCACAAGCTGCAGATAAACAACAACTGGGATCTTGCACAGGCACCGGTCACAGGTTTGTTTTAATGTTGCAAATCACAAATGTGCAAATTTGGTAAAATGGGACCCAAAACTAGCATGTTTCATTTCCCATGCAATTTGTATCCTGTGGGGGAAAGACACACTGCCATTATGTGGAGCTTTTTTTAGACACAGTTACAGAGAGCAAACATATTTAATACCTATAGCTGAAGAAATGGCGGCTATAAATAGCATTACACGGTATAACGAATGTCTATGACACTTCTACTTGGGCGTACACATGTATCTTTCTGCTATGTGCAGCTTTTTAGGACAAAAAGAAAAGGCAATTTAAAGTTATGTGTTAGAGACACATGCTGTGTTGTTTTCTTTTTAAAATCATTGTCATTAGCAATTATTTAGAGCATTCTGGGAGAGTTTGAAGTGTCTTGCTCAAGGACATGTCCACCATAGCTGCTGAGACAAAGGAAAAAAGAAATCACATCTGCTCATATTTCATTAGTGGTTTCAATATATCTTCAGCATCTTTTTTTTATGTTTGTTGTTTTTCCAAATAATTTAGTCTGTGTTAGCCTAACATACTTTTAACAGTGTCCCATGTGAAACAGCCTCATCATATCATAGACACTACCCAAACAACTGCTCTCTATTAGTAAAAGAGTCATTATTATGAGCTATTACACTAGCATTTTCAATTGTGTTGATAAACACCGGAGAACATCCAGCCCTGTTCTTTGGTAATTATAGCTCAATGAAATGTAGACAAAATGAAATGATGCAGATGTAGAAAATAACTGGGCTTAAAGCTTCAGTGAGGCATACAACTGGGAAACTGCTTTCTGGCCTCAATTAAATCCAAGTATATACTTTAGCTCAGTGAATTGGGATTTAAAGGAATTCAAATTACAAAAAAAAAAAAAAACCCCAGTAAAACAAAGTATTTCATTAGCTGCAGAAAATAACAATACACCGATGGGACAAAATAATCATCACATTAGATACAAAAGGTCTAATCTGTCACACAGGTTGCAGGTTTCTTACTGCTGTTAAACAAAGACAAAATGTTACAACAATTTGTGCCTGAAGTGACTCCAGGGATACAGTTTAAGAGTTGAACCAAGCAGATGAGATCACCCACACATGCACAATCACACAAATAAACCTGACTAATTAGCATCCTCACTCCTACTATGTGTTGCTCCGTGTCCAAGATACATATGACAAACAGAGTTACGAGGCAGAGGTTGAGTGTCTGCCAGCCTGCTTTGGCTGAGGAGGGACTTCTCATTATACATCCTTCCCTGGGACAATGCCTGGCCTCACCCAAAGCACCAAGACAGTGTCACTGTGATTATCCAGTATTAATACATGAATAGTGATGTGAGAAAACATTGCTTGCACCTTTCAACAGTTTTAACATCCCCTCTCTCATCTTTCCTGTCTGTTCCCCTCCTCTCACCGCCATTATCTCACCTACCCCACCTTCCTCCTCCTCCGCCCATCTCAGTCAATCAGTCCTGTATGAAATCACAAGGTGACACGGACTGCGTTGTCTTGGTAACCATCGCTACACAACTGTTGCCTGGTCACCGAGCACAAACAAGCCCAGAGCACAGCAAGGCTTCTGTGTTGCAGAGAATAAGAACAAGGTATGAGAGAAAAGAAATAAAAGGCCAGAGGGTGGGTCGGGGGTGGAAGGTCACACAGTGGCTGCTGCAGCCCTTCCTCACTTTAATTTAATGATACCTTTGCCCGGCTTCTCAGCCCAGAGCACAGTTGGATAAATGCCAGACAAATCTACAAATTAAACACATTTGTGCTACAAAGAGACAAATATTATTTTAACCCAAATATGTATATGTAGCTACCTTTTAAAAATCCCCAGCAGAACTGTTTCTCCATTACGTCTTTATTATACCATTAAAATTACTATATTTTTATATTCACGCCGCTATCTCTTCATTCATTCATTATAAGGAATCCTCTTAGGGTGGAACACTCTAAAGAATAAAATACATCAGAGCCAGGATTATAAATAGAGCACTCTAATGAAGCACTTTATCAAGCTTGCACAAGCCTTTGGAGGAATTATTTATTATTTAATGGTGGTTCTAGTCCATTGAGATGTGTCAATATGTAGTATAGGATCTGACAAAATGATTCAGGCAAGGCTAATTAATCAGCTCAACATTCTGCATTAATATCCTTTCGTTTCCGGTGTAGGAAAAAAAGAAAATCAAGTGATTTAACCTCTTTGTGGATTGCATTAATCATTTTCCAGACGTAACTGCTTTGCTTGTGTTTCTGCACTCGAGTGCCACCTGGGAAAAAGGATGCACATACTGTTGCTTGAAGGAAATAAAATACGGTACTTCTGAATTTACAGCAATGTGTGCTGTGTGTCTTTGGCGTTATTACAAACTATGCTATATGCATATGGCTTTATTTAGGAAGGTTAAGTTAAAATGCATGCATTTCCATGATTGATTGTGTTTTCATTTTTGATCATATGTAAGAGTGAATTAAGGCGGTGACTCATATTTGAACAGGCACTATGCTCCATGTTATAATAAAAGTCTTTGGTGTAAAGACACTGTTTTCATTTGACAGATTTCTGGTACCAGTTCGTGAACTAGACAAGAAGAAAGAAAAACTGGAATCTGAATGAAGGGAAAAAAGGTACTTGTCTGCAAGGAAAGTGCTGTGAGGGCGGTGGAGTAAATGGACTATTTACAACAACAGGCATGGAGAGGGACCTTGAATGTCCATGATGAGCTCCATTCCCTTTTTCACTTTCAAATCACCTTATCCCTAGCTTTTTTGGATGCCATCCTAAAAAACCAAGGCCATAATTTCCATCCAATTTGCTCCCTCTCTCTGCGTGAACACTGACAGATTGTCATATTTTGGCCACGCTCCCAGAGGAGAGTTGTGAGAAGCAGGAGGGCAGATAAACGGCTATTACTATTCACACCAGCTCATTACTGAGCATTTAGACCCATGAGCACCAACCCAAAAGCTCCACACAGAGGGCGTTCATGCTGCTCCCTGTGCCCGGCCCAGAAGAGCCACGCCATGGGACAGCTGATTGACAAGTGGTCAGACATTTTTCTCCACAGCTACTGCATATTTCAAAACATTTGTTTCATTCATCACCATCTATAGCATCATAAAGATCAATTTATATAAAAAGAAGTAACTGCGGCATAAAATCGCCAAAGGTACTGTTCCATTACATATAGTATGGCTTCAAATTGATTTGGTCCCTGAGAAATACAGGAAAGCAATACAGCAGCTAAAGCATGTTTTAGCCTGCACAGCATAGCATGTACATTATATAAGCAGCATAACAATCCTACCGTCATGAATCCATCCAGCAGGCCTGAGTCCGGTTTGGGTGGAGCTTGTAGCCGCTCCATTGACCACTTCTCAATGATCGAGGACACCTGAGAGTTTTCTGTGTTGAGGATGCGGAATCCGGTCATGTTGACTCCACTGTAGCGATACGGTTCCATGTCCAGGGCAAAAAGGTCCTGGAAGCACAAAGATGAAAGTCTAGATGTCTTTGAGCTGCAAAAAATAATTTCTCACCTCAAACAAGTGAGAGTATAAGAGTGCAGTTGAAGGTATTTCAGAAGTTATTTTATCTCATGCTGAGGCAGTAGCCTTGATTAAGGCAAGGCTTTCAAGGTTACAGGCAGGCTTTTGGTGGACTGCCATCTATCATGTGGAAGTGAAAGGACAACCCAATTGTCCCACATACAGCATGTCTGGCATCTCACCAGGCAGATGTCTCTGGGACGCAACAACACAGTTGACAGAGCAACAGCAGGCGATAGATGCAGAATGGGGGTGCCATGGTCAATGTTTGCTGTCCTATTCAGAACGCAGCATGGATGGCTTGGTACCAGTATACAGCAGCTTTGGCCAGCCCGGTGGCCTGCAACCTGCCAAACACTGGCTGATGTTAAAGTAGGCATGTTTCCACCTCGACAAGCAGCAGCATGCCACCGGAACAGACGTATAATCACCATTCTCTTTCCTTTTCCAGTGACATACCTGCTGTCACTCACTCCCCTTTCATCTCACCAGGTTCTTATGTGGATACACTAGGGATAATTGCATGTCCTGTGCACTGGTAAATGTCTTTTTCAGGTCAGTTTTCTCCAACCTTTCCCTCAGCCTTTGCAGTTGTACTCCAAACAACACAGCACATGCCATTTGTTTGTTAGAGCTATAATGGACCAAATGGGTGACAGTCTCATCTGCTCAGGGCTATTATCCGAGCTCTCAGTCTTCTGTTCCCTGGGCTCGGCGAAGATATGCTGCTTTTCATCTGGAGCGTAGCAAGCAATCTTTGTAGTGGCTAGATCAAAGAACTTTGGACAACTTCAATGGCTGCCCAAGTCAGAATAAAATATATCCAACTGCTTTTGTTTCTGACAGCACTCCCATGCTTGTGAACAGGCAGGTGGGATTGGTGCAAAATTTACTAAATAATCTGAAATTAAACTTTATAAACTTGTACTTTAAAATGCAAAGAATACATTTATAATCAACTAAATGATGATGTGTCAGTTAGTCAAGGCCATATAATTCTATCAGGGTTGTAGTTCAGGCTCAAAACACTTCACACAGAATGACAGTAATAGAACGTTTTTGTTTCACTGACTCTGGCTCGAGTCATATTTAACTTTGTTCTCAGAGAAGAATAACTGCTATCAGACACTCGGACAGATGGATGAATTTCTGCCTTGCAAAAAGCAAAAAACAGATGAATATTTGCACTGCAATAAGCCCAGGGAAAATAAAACTGTGCAAACCAGACACACTTTCATGTGGACAGTGCTTTTCCAAAAATGTAATAAACATCTTACACTATAAAATTGTTTTTTATGAACATAAAAAAGAAGTGCCAGTGTACTCACCAGGGTAGTAAAAATATAATGGTAGTACTCTGTCATCATACCCATGGCCAGGGCCTACAGGGAATAAAGAACAGCATGTCTCGAAATCAGTGATCAGCTTATGATGAGCTGATTGTTCTATTCATCTTAATTTTTCTATTCATTTTCTTCATTTATTTAGTTAATCTGCATAATCACTCTCTGACCCAAACTGTTGGTTTAGTAATATGATTCATACATATTTATTTCATTGTCTTTTTTGATTTATTTAATACTGAACATTTCGAGGTTCCATACTAATGACCTTTAGGTTCAGTGTGTAAACAGTAAGAGCACTTAAGATGATGGAACAGCCCACTACCTTTTTATATATGATAATTTTATCATAGCACTTTCCTGAATTGAATTAAAAGTGAATTAACTGCAACATTTACATAATTCCCCCTTAAAAAAAAATTGAGTTAGTACTCAGTACACAGACTCAGGGTTTATTCATTATGTATATGTACTTGAACAATAAGCCCATATGTGTTCCTGTTATTACTGTTTCTCTCTTTAAGCACTGATTCAGATACCTACTCTCTACTCTGTCCATCTTTAATCTCTGTAGAATATTACAAATGTACTACTGACCTGTCATAATGGACGCTCTTAC